GTTATAACATGATGTTGTTGTTAACCTGGCACTGAGTCAGCCCCAACTCATGGCAATGCCATGCACAACAGAATGAGATGCTGCTCAGTTCAGCACCATCTCCATAATCCATTGCAGATTGGACTATTGTGATCCATCAGGTTTTAATTGGCTGGCTTTCTAAAGTAGATCTCCAGACCTTTCTTCCTAGTCCATCTTAGTCTATAAGCTCCACTGAAACCTGTTCAGCATCATAGCAACACACAAGCTTCCACTAACTGGCAAGTGGTGGCTACGCTTGAGGTGCATTGACCAGGAATTGAACCCAGGTCTCCTACGTGGAAGGTGAGAATTCTATCACTGAACCACCAATGCCTCCATAGAGACATGATAGACCTAATAGCTGAAATGATTTCTTGAGAGGATTACATCAAGCAGATCATTAACATTGCCAACATCACATCACTGAAAGATGGCCATGGGGCCTTTGAATAAACGGTGTGTAATAGGCTCATGTCCAATATGATGGGGCCTGCCCACCCTCTGGGCTAGACACGGTGCTCATTAAAGCTGCACAAGGATGAGACTCAGGTGCACCATCAGAGGAGAGAGAGTCCATTTCTGACCCACCATTCTTCCAGAGCAAGCCACCATCTAACTCCATTAACAGGGCAGTGATAAAATTAGGCTATTGGCTGTGAATGTTATATACTTATTGATCTCCTACATCATAATAGGTACCATTCCATTGAGGTGCGGAGACCAGAAAAACTTTCTATATAGAAAAACCCTCTCCTGAGAGTCATAATTTGAGAACAAAGCTCTATTATCTAATACTGTCTCATTTATTTGTAACAAGGATGCTAAGGCACAAGAATAGAAATCATCCAAGCAAGATTTAGTAGGGTTCAATCTAATTCTACCAGTCAGGATTTTAATATGTTTGGGAATTAGCAAACTGTATATAATGTATAACGCAACTTCTTTTGAATAGGAGGGCTTGGCTCTTCACAAGCTGGCCCTCTCCTCTCCCATGACTAAATAGTGATGAGTGTACAGATTTTCAATCCAGGAAAATTCTTCATCAGCATTATCTCTTCCCTCTCAGAAGAGCCCATGTTCTTCTTGTGCAGGCCCCTCACAAGCAATCAGGCAGAATGTCCACAAAAGAGCTTCTGGGCTAAGTGAGTGGAATTTTAAATTCACCAACTTTACTTTCTGTTTTCTAGGCTGCCATGTACTCAGACTCTTCAGGAAAGTGCTTAAAAGCTGCAGGGATTTCCCCCTCTTCTTTCAGAGTTCAGAAACTACCATTGGAACCAAGGCAAACTCACATCTTGCTCAGTATAGCCATAGCTGATGTCAGCTGAGATTCTGCATGTCTAACAAACTCCTGGGTGAGGCTGCTGTTGTAGTTCTTGGGCCACATCTTTGAGTGGCAAAGCCCAATGGGAGACTGAACAAGATAATGCAAGGTTACGTAGAAGTACTATCACTCATCTGTCAGTTTGTTGTACTGTGGTGGCTTGCATTTTGCTATGATGCTGGAAGCTATGCCACTGGTATTTCACATACCCATGGTGGACAGGTTTCAATGGAGAGTCCAGAGTAAGACAGACTAGTGAAAAAGGCCTGGAGATTTATCTCTGAAATCAACCAATTAAAACCTTATGGATCACAACAGAGCACAGTCTGATATAGTGCTGGAAGATGAGCCCCTAGGTTGGAAGGCAGTCAAAATACACAGTGGCCACAGCAATGGACTCGAGTGTACCAATGATCATGAAGATAATGCAGGACCAGGCAATGTTTCAATTGTATATGGGGTCAGTATCAGTTGAAGCCAACTCAACAGTAACTAACAACAATGTATGTGGAAGGAGTAACGATGGGGGAGATGAGATCAGATAAGTCCTGGAATACTCACTTAACCTCTCTGAACTTGGATTCCTCGTTTATAGAGTGCCATAATTACAAAAATTACCTCACAGAGTTGTTGTGAAAGGAGATAATGCTCTCCATAAAAAAGAGGACAATGGCATCACCATAGAAGATCCTATGAAATGGAGTTTACTCTTTCTCTTCTAAAATGATAAGATCAGGTCATAAGGCCTTTATCCCTAGCTGAGAAGTTATATGTGTGTGAAAATGTGATGTTCTCATTTGTATCATCTTGCAGTGTTTCTTTAGAACATTAAAGAAAAATGAGTCAGCGAAGTATTCTAGTCTTCACAGTCTTTTTAGTGCTAAGTTCTACTCAGTTTTGGGGCCCCTTCCACTCAGGTATCTCAGCCTTCATGTTGAAATTCTACTTAGGATAACTTAGTGGATATAGTTTAGGGAAATAGAGCTAATTCTTAGCAGAACTGCTTTTTAATTCAACACAAATAGCTATAATTACCATTGAGAAGCAGAAACATTATGGAATGTTACAAAATCTATTTGATTTGTACAAAGATATAGTGCAATTGAGCCCAAGTGGCAATTAATAAGTTAGCAGGAAATGGGGGAGATAAAACCATAAGTAATTTTTATGGTTTAAATTTAGTGTTTCAATCTTCATGACATGCTTAATTCCAGAATTTGGGGAAGTATTATACAGTGATTGAGCTCATTAAACCCAGTAAGAAATGCTTAGCTTAGCAGCTAGCTGGATAAGAAATTGCTCTATGTTTAAGTTCTTCTCAGAAAATGAAACAGAAATATTATCAGTCCATGCCAGTAGCATTTTTCAGAATGTATGTCTGGATTTCCTTCTGATGGACTTCTTGAAATTTGTCATGTTTTCTAGAGACACTCATGAATGTAGACAGAATTTAGCTTCAGTAATGTGATTACCTGGCTCTGTCTCTATCTCTCTTTTCTCTAAGCAGAGAAACCTAAAAATCAATAGAGGAAATTTTCTATTCTTGGTTAAGTCTTGGAAGAAGCAAAAAAAGATAAATGTCCAGGGAAAAGCAGGGAGAGGGGGAAATACTGATTCTCTGAGAAGTTGCCACACTTTCCGAGTTGCAGCCAGAGGAAGCAGAGAAAGAATTGTTGGTCTGCGGATAATGGGGATTACCAGTCACCAGTCACTGTGACATCAACCCTGACTCGTGGCAACCCCATGTGTGTCCGAATAGAAATGTGCTCTATAGGGCTTTCAGTGGCTGATTTTTTTGAAGTAGATTGCCAGGCCTTTTTTATGAGGTGCCTCTGGGTGGACTCGAACCTCCAACCTTTTGGTTAACAGTTGAGGGCGGTAACCATTTGCACTACCCAAGAACTCCAATGGGGACAAAAGAGGCCAATTTTGTTGTAAAAAGCTTTTTAAAGGGCCCCATTCAGCATGCTTTGGCTCAACAGTTCTGATATCTTTCTTGTTATTGTTGTTGATATTATTATTACTATTATTTTTGTCCCAGATGGAATAGAAATTTTCTTAAGAAATACCAAATGGCCAGCTCTAATCCATGCTCAATATTGCCTGGGCCCTAAATTTAGCACTGTACATGCATAAACATTGTCAGATTTATTGCTAATTATGCACAAGAACAAAACTTGCCAACAGATATTTGCGAATATTATAAAAAGTGTTACCTAATGAAATACAGAACATTTGACACATGATTTGAGGTTAAAACTTTCCATTTTTGAGGCCAAATTCTGTGTTCCTTATCTCGACAATGTCTAATTTGGGTTGATATTTGACTTTCAGGGAATGTCTTCTTATTCTTTTATCCTTATTAGGATATTAATTTTAACAGAGAACTTAAAAAAGTCTTGGAAGTCATTTGATTCTGAAATAAGACCAACTTCTTTAACAATAGAAGAGCTAATATAATAAAAGCCATCAGGTTTGGGATATTTTATGAAAATGTTTAATTCAACTGTTTCTTTGGAATGTAGTAGTCATAGTTTGGAATTTAAGTTACAATTCAGTTCTATGTGGTTCTTATGCTACTCAGTGTCTGAGAATACAAATGTCATTTAAAGTTAAGGCTTTGCTGTTCATTTTGAAACAACAATTTACAAGTGTCATATTGTCATAGAAAATAAAAATTTCTGTAAAAAAAATTTGCACAAAATTTTATGATGGTACAAAACATGAAGCAATAATATACCAGTAAAATGAACACATTTTACTACAGAAAGTTTTTATAGATTTCAATAAAGAAAAAATATGTTATTTTACACCTTTAAAAATTACGAAACAATCTAAAACAATATAAACTGAACATTTTGTAACACTGCCTTTACAAATTAATAACTTTATAAACATATAATTTTTAAATATATTTATCAGTGCAAGATACTTTAAAATTTAAAGTTGCAGTATCATTTTTTCCTAGGTTAAGGGACATTAAGTCTGTTGCCTTTGGGAAAAAAAAAATCAAGTCTTGCTTAGTGTTTTCTTCCGTACGATTATAACAACTGAATGAATGCTTCTGGGGAGAAAAAGAAATTCGCCTTTCATGGTTATCAATACTTTCCTGGAAACAAAAGGCATTCTCAATCCAATTATACCAAGATGAATGGACTGTCTTGACTATGATGAATATGTGACTCCCAGAAGTATATCTGATCAAGATCTGTAACAATGCTATAGGAGGACAATCTAAAAATTATCATGTATCACACAGTATGACACAAATACAGCAAAATCAACCAAAGCTTCTTTGGGTTAATTCACACACTGCCTTGGTAAGACATTCACTTTGCTCTGCTGTTAGAGACTTGGGTCTCGCCAGCCCCAAGTCCGGCCTTTTCTTCATGAGCCACTGGAAATATTTCTAGAAGCATTCATTCAAGTTTCTGTTTCTTTCAGGGTTGCTGCCAAGTAGATTATTTTAAACATTTGTTTTAACTTTGCTTGCTTCCCCCTCTCCCCATCTTAAAATAGTTCATCTCCAGGCACCAGGATTTATAGTTTTTGTCTTAAATTAACTATTCTTCCTTCCATTTGCCTTGTTTGACTCAATACCAAAATAAGAATGTTCTCAGGGGCCATTTTTGCATACTTGGATCTAAAAATCTCATTTTTTTTTTTTTTTTTTTTATATTTAGAAGGTTTTATTCAGCCCTTCCTTCAGGTCTCACTTGAAAGCCAATTAATATTATTCCTTTCCTCAAATTATCACTACTTCTATTAAACTCAAACATTTTTATCAATGAGCATTTTGATCAGGATAGACAGACAAATGGCTTCAGGAAAAAAGATACTGTCACTTTAACCAGTTAACAAGAAAACCAAAGTTAGACTTTGGAGGGCAAAGTTAGGAATTTCCCTTATTTACTTATTTTTAAACATAAAGTCTAGTAAAATTGTTTGCCATTCCCAGCAAGGTTAAAGCTGAAAGTTTCTTTTCTGGACAATGGCAAATGCTTAAAATCTAAGAGAGAAAAAAAGACAGAGAGATAGGAGAGAGAGAGAAGTGTTTACATTTGAAAATACATTCCATATGAAAGAACAATAAGAGAGAATATTGCAGCTTTATACAAAAGGATCAAGAGACATGAAACTGAACTACGGAAAAAAGCAGAACAATTAAGCCACATTGCCAAGTCTTCTGAGCCCTTGCCTTCCCGGGGGCTGACATCTCACACTAAAATATACTCTCTTCTCAGTCAGTGGGCCACCAGGGTTTGACTAATTAAAGAGTAGGGCTTTCACCAGTCAGAAACAGAGTGGGTTGTTAATGTAACACAATGAGAACCAGTAGAAACAAAAAGGCACTTGAGAGGACATAGACTAGCCAGTGCCAAGGATTTATCGTTTCGGTTGTCGGCAGTACACCCAGTTGCCAGCACTGTCTGGTGATGGCACAGTTTTCTGCATGGAGTTCACAAGCACGAGGTTTAGTACAACACTGGAAAACATCAAGAAAATTTGACGGTATTGCTTCGTAAACAGAGCTGACACACTATACCGGCACTGAGGCTACTGTACTTTTAAAAGAAAACACCCTAATCCTTTGCCTATGCACAACGAGGCCAATTATACACATGTACAGCTGCAGGAGTCCACGGAAATGCAGTTATTCTAATATATTCTGGGCACTGGGCTAAAGGTAGCATGTCCATCAAAAGGGCCCCACTGAATACACTTGGTGCCAGCATCTTGGATTTTGCACAGTTTCCAAAAAGAATCCATAAAAGGGAAAGGAGAGAGAGATGGGGGGAGGGAGAGTCAGAAATGAATCATTAAGTCAATCCTACTTGGTCTCAATATACCAGCATGTGATTATTCAATTGAAACCAACAGAAAAAAAGCAGACTGTACATGATTCCGATTGTTAACACAGCTCATTCGTTCATGGCTGTCGGCTATACTCATTGAAGCTCCTGAGATAAGCCTGGCTCGGCGTCCTCAACGCACTTCCCAGCTTGTACAGTAAGAGAAGATCCACAGTTCCCCAGCACGCTCAATTCCGTCCTTCCACTCAATTCTATCACTCATCTTTTCACCTCTGCCTGCCTTCATGCCTCCGAGTAAGTACTCTGTGTAGTCAGTTTGTCTTTTTTCAACTTCACACCGTCCACAAGTTCAAAGTTATAGTTCTCCAGGGCAGACAAGTTTCTTTCGGACATGCCGTTGTGCCAACAGGCACAATACAGCACAACGCCACAGACAGCCCCCAGGAGAACCCCCAGGGCGCTCATGACGATGATTGTGATGAGGATGGGGTCCAGCGTCTTCAACACACTGCCGGGCTTCCTTGAGATGTTCTCGTCACCTTCTTCGGCGCCTGTGTATCCTGGTGTGCTCCCTACAGAGGAAAACAAAATTGGCCCCATGAGTGCTCCAACATGCCAGATGCAAGCAAACAGAAAAAACAGAAGGGAAAAGAAAAGAAAAGAAAGGACTAATCACATGGCCCACTCTTGCCTGTCCTCTCCCAAGAGCCTGCTGAAGATCAGTGAAGTGGAGCTCGGCTCTCCCATCGCCTGGAGCCACCAAGGGTTACATTTGACTCACTGTTGGGAACTGAGGGGTGGAAGGTGAGGGTGCTGGGAAGTTGATGCTGTGATTCTGCATACAGTTTAGCACATGAAAAATACCGATTCTGGCTAAACAGTGAGTGTTGTCTTCTAATCACATTCAGATGCCCTGCAGCCCTCCGTTTGTGCTAGACTGTAATCTGTGTTTATTGTCCTGGGCCAGATATGTTGTCATTAAGCTTTGCAAGATGCTTAGTCACACGTGTGTCAAGGAGGCACGTAAACATTCCTGGCACGTTTGCCTGATTCCAAAACCAGACACGAGGAGACCTTTAGTGCTGCCCTTGTATGTGGTGCGGTTTCCAGGGTCTGGGCACAGATTTGCACATGTGCTCATTCTCCCATGAGTACAGTCTTCAAACTCAACAACAGTTTCCCCTGAAGCCTATAGTGGTTTCACTCAAAGAGGAGAGATCTTTCAGAGCATGTGAATGTTTGCAGCCAACATCTAAAAAGCGTTATAGCTCAAATCTGGAAACAGTGTCTGGGCTATGCTGAATAGAACACATTTAATAATCAGCATCTTTGCAGCCTTACTGGTTTCACTGGAGAGAGTTACACCGCTCCGTAGTTCGGTCACTGGGGAAATGTTTTCTTTAGAGTGGAACATGAGAAATTATTAAGGGAGCTTTGAGCCTAATTACCTGGTACTAGAAATGGGACTGAAATGTTAATGTGCAACATGTGTGGTGTTTACTTAATGGTGTTCAGATCAACAAAGATTCCCATCAAAGAAAACTAAAAATATGAGACAAACTCCCTAAACGGGGGAAAACAAGCCAGTGGGGCATATTAATATTCTCTCCCTTGCGAAGTATTGTTTTGAAACAACCACTAATAAAGTGTGGACTTTGTAGCCAAGCTAAATGAGCCACTTACTAATATTACTAACAGTATCGTTTTGTATTTATTTGACTCTGTCAAGTTTGTATCTGGCTATAAGAGGATGGCATTTTGAACAGGAACAGACACTGATACCCCATAACAATCGTGGTGTGGCACTTCCTGCAGCAGCTGTCTAATACCCAGAACTGTTAGCTAGGAAGTTCGGAAACCTCAGGGATAAAATAATATTAAAAAAAAAACAAAACAAAACTGTTGCTGTTGAGTTGGTTCTGACTCATAGCCACCCTACAGGACAGAGTAGAACTGCCCCACAGGATTTCCAACTAGCGGCTTATGGATTGGAACTGCTGATCTTTTGGTTAGCAGCCGAGCTTTTAACCACTGTGCCACCAGGGCAAAATAATATTAAAAAAAAAAAAAACAAAACCCCTCACCGTCGAATCAATTCCGACTCATAATGACCCTGTAGGACAGAGTAGAACTGCCCCATAGAGCTTCCAAGGAGCACCTGGTGGATTCGAACTGCCGACCTTTTGGTTAGCAGACGTAGCTCTTAACCACTACACCACCAGGGTTTCCAAAATAATATTAGGCAAAGCCAATTCTGAATGAATGTCTTGTATGTGATCGTAAAGCAGTGTTCAATGAAAACACACGTTTTAGAGTTAATTTGCCTAAATGTGGTGCCACTACCTAATTAACTGTGTTACTTAGGGCAAATTGCCTTTCTGAGTTTTGGTCTTATCATCTGTAAAAATGGGGATAGATATATCTTATGGGGCCACTGTGACAATTAAATAAGATGATGTACATAATGTGCTTGGAATATAGTAGTCCCTCAATAAATTCTTACTATTATCATTATCATCATTATAAAACCAGGTTCCAGTAGATGGGAAATGGTGAATCACACATAACAAATAGCACAGAAATTGGGCTCCAGTCCCTTATACATCATATCTAGACATCAACCAGACACAAGAACTGGGGTTTGTTGTGTATTAGAGTATGAAAATTATCATAAATCATCGGGTAAGTCACTGCCTTCACTGGTTCTCAGTTTCTGTAGCTGTCAAATGAGAGTGTTTCACTTGATTATCCTCTGAGTCTCCTTCTGGGCTCAGGCAGGTAAGGGCCAGGGCCAGAGCCAGCACACTTCTCCCAGGGCTCAACTGTTGTACAAGCAGAACATGTCACAGACTCCCAAAAGCCTCAAGGGCAGCTTAGGAGAAGGCATTCTGTGAAACAATCCAATCTATGGCCCAACTCAGGGCCATGGGCATGGATGTTTATTTTATTTGAATTGAAATGATATGCCAATGTATTAAAGTTCCAGAAAGCTTCTTCATTAACATAGTGGAAGCTATAGTAAAATTTTTTTTAATTGGTCATCAAGACAAATTTACCTGCTTCATCAATTTTATTTTCTGGGTGCTTTTTATCCAGGTCTGCTGGTTCTACAAGTCAAACAAAATTGAAAGAGATTATTTGAACTGTCCACAAAATACAATATACACAAACCAAGAAGATAAAATAAATACTTAGGAATAAATCTAACCAAGGACGTAAAAGATATATACAAAGAAAACTACAAAACAGTACTACAAGAAACCAAAAGAGACCTACATAAATGGAAAAACATACCACTCTCATGGGTAGGAAAACTCAACATTGTGAAAATGTCAATACTACCCAAAGCAATCTACAGATACAATGCAATCCCGATCCAAATTCCAACAGCACTGGACGTGATGGAGAAACAAATCAACTTTATATGGAAAGGGAAGAGGCCCAGGATAAGTAAAGCATTATTGAAGAAGAACAAAATAGGAGGCCTCACACTATGTGATCTTAAACCTATTATACAGCCATGGTAGTCTAAACAGCCTGGTAAGAATTGAGAACCCAGACGTAAATCCATCCGTCTATGTGCAGCTGATATTTGACAAAGGACCAAAGTCTGTTAAATGGGGAAAAGACAGTCTCTTTAACAAATGGTGCTGGCATAACAGGATGTCCATCTGTAAAAAAATGAAACAAGATCCATACCTAACATCATACACAAAAACTAACTCAAAATGGATCAAAGACCTAAATATAAAATCTAAAACAATAAAGATCATGGAAGAAAAAACAGGGATAAGCTAGGGGCATAAATAGATGGCATAAAGAGAATACAAACTATAACTAACAATGCACAAACACCAGAAGAGAAACTAAATAACTGGGAGCTCCTAAAAATTAAACACTTATGCTCATCAAAAGACTTCATCAAAAGAGTAAAAAAAGAACCTACAGAATGGAAAAAAAAATTTGGCTACAGCATATCAGATAAGGGTCTAATCTCTAACATCTATAGAATACTTCAACATCTCAACAACAAAAAGACAAATAATCCAATTAAAAAATGAGCAAAGGATATGAACAGACACTTGACCAAAGAAGACTTTCAGGTGGTTAACAGATACATGAGGAAATGCTCAAGATCATTAGCCATTAGACAAATGCAAATCAAAACTACAATGAGATACCAACATTACTGGCACAAATAAAAAAAAACAGAAAATAACAAATGTTGGAGAGGTTTTGGGAGATTGGAACTCTTATGCACTGCTGGTGGGAATGTGGAGTGGTACAAGTACTATGGAAAATGATATGGCACCTCCTTAAAAAGCTAGAAATACAAATACCATATGATCCAGCAAAACCAATCTTAGGAATATATCCTAGAGAAATAAGAGCCCTCGCATGAATAGACATATGCACACCCATGTTCACTGCAGCACTATTCACAACAGCAAGAAGATAGAAACAACCTAAGTGCCTATGAACAGATGAATGGATAAACAAATTATGGTCCATACATACAAAGGAATACTATGCAACAATACAGAACAACGGCGAATCAGCAAAACATCTCACAATATGGATGAATCTGGAGGGCACTATGTTGAGTGAAATAAGTCCATCACAAGAGGACAAATATTGTACGAGACCACTATTATACCAGTACCTGTTGCCATCTAGTTGATTCTGACTCATAGCAACCCTATAGGACAGATTAGAACTGCCCCATATAGTTTCTTTCACCACCAGGGCTCCCCACTATTATAAGAACTCAAGAAAAGGTTTACAAACAGAAGAAAACATGCTGTGATGGTTATGAGGGTGGGGAGGGATGGGGAGGGAAAATTACTAACTAGATAGTAGACAAATGTTAACTTTGGTGAAGAGAAAGACAACACACAATATAGGGGAAGTTAGCAAAACTTGGCCAAGGCAAAAACAAGGACACATCCCTAGAAACATGCAAACACCTTGAGGGATCAAGTTGCTGGGACTGAGGGCTGGGGACCATAGTCTCGGGGGACGTCTAGGTCAATTGGCATAACATAGTTCATAAAGAAAATGTTCTACATCCTACTTTGGTGAATAGTGTCTGGGATCTTAAAAGCTTGGAAGCAGCCATCTAAGATACATCTATTGGTCCCGTCCCATCCGGAGCAAAGGAACATGAAGAAAACCAAACACACAAGGAAAATATTAGCTCAAAGGCCTAAAGAATCACATGAACCAGAGCCTGAGCCCAGAAGAATTAGATGGTGCCTGGCTACCACCTCCGACTGCTCTAACAGGGATCACAACAGAGAGTCTGGGACAGAGCTGGTGAAAAATGTAGAACAAAATTCAATTTCATGAAAAAGGACAAAACTTACTGGTCTGACAGTGACTGGAGGAACCCCCAGGACTATGGCCCTGGACACCCTGCTAACTCAGAACTGAAACCACTCCCGAAGCCCACTTTTCAGACAAAGATTAGACAGGCCAATAAAACAATCACACATGTGAGGAACGTGCTTCTTAGTTCAATCAAATATACGAGACCAAATGGGCAACTCCTGTCCAAAAGGCAGGAAGGGACAGGAACTGGATGAATGGACACAGGGAATCCAGGGTGGCAAGGGGGAGAGTGCTGTCACATTGTGGGGATTGCAAACAATGTCACAAAACAATATGTGTATAAATTTTTAAATGAGAAACTAACTTAAGCTGTAAACTTTCACCTAAAGTACAATAAAATTAAAAAAAAGGAATTCAGAGGAAGCATACCAAAAATAAGGGAAAGATTATCACCAATATCAGGATACCTGTAGAGGGTGAGAGATTGGGATCTGCAAGAGGCTTACAAACCTCTTGCCTTCGAGTCGATTCCGACTCATAGTGACCCTATAGGACAGAGTAGAACTGCTGCATAGGGTTTCCAAGGAGCAGCTGGTGGATTCGAACTGCTGACCTTTTGGTTAGCAGCCAAGCTTTTAACCACTGTGCCACCAGGGCTCCATACTGATTAAAGATATAAGATAATAATTTATATTGATTAAAGATATGAATTATTAGCCATGAATCTTTAGGTACATAGTTACATAATACTGAAAAGTATAAAGACTGAAAATAACAAATCTACAATCATAATGGAAGACAAATACACCTCTCTCAGAATCAAAGATGAAGCAGACAAAAAAGATTTGAAGAGCACAGTTAACAATCTTAATTGAACTTTCCTCCAACTGAGAACACACTGTTTTTTCAAACGTGAAAAATTCACATAATCTGATCCCATTTCACGCTTGAAGAGTGAGACTGACCATTGTGTTTTAGGTTTAGAAACTGAACTACAGAACTGTTCCTAATTTTTGGTTTTGTGAATGAAACTTTTATGAACACTATGTACAAGTCTTTGTGTGGACATAGATTTTCATTTCTCTTGGGTAAATGCCTAGGAGTGGAATTGCTGAGTCATATGGTAGATGTATAACTCTGTTAGAAATTGCCAGTTTTCCAGAGTGGTTGTACCATTTTATATTCGCATCAGAAATATATTGCTTTCTTATATTGCTGTTGAGGTTGTCATTTAACTCTTTCATTGTTAACCAACTTTTCATTTGTTTATTGACGTATGTTTATTCCAACTGAATTTCAACAAGCTCATTAAAAGCAGAAGCCACGTGTTATGCTTCTTTGTGGTTTTCAGTGCATAACATAGCTGCTGAATGCATACCAGGCATTCAGTAAATATTTGTTGAATGATTATTGAAAAAAATATACATAAACCACATGAACGCTCACACACAGACACACACACACACACAAACACACACACACACACATGCCTCTGCTGGGCTTCCATTCAAGTTTTTAGTATAATCAGATCCCACCACATAACCAAACAGCAATTGAGAGGCAATATTAAATGACAATGAAATTGGTGACTTTGGGTATAACGCCTCCTTTACAGTGTCAGATCTAAATCCAGGTAGCTGTTAGTAGAGTGTATTTTAGGAGAAGAGAAGGATGGAGAGACTTGGGTTTTGGCATCTGGAGTGTGGAAGAAATCTGGCGAAAATAGGGGTTATACATTGGCTATCATCTTGTACTTCGTAGGCAACTGCTTTCTAAGTTTGATGGGTGTTGGTTTGGGTTCCCGAATAGTATACCAGCTCTTTGAGGTAAGAGACTGAGTCCTGTCTCTTAGAAAAAAAAAGTTATGGCAGGAGTAGAATCATGGTATCCCTATGGTACTGAGTACAGGGCAGGGATTTTTGAGTACATCGTTCACTACTGTATCTCCAGCATTTAGAACAGTGTTTAGCACGTAATAGGTGCTTCAATAAATATTAGCTGTATGAATGAATGAATGATTAATAAATAGTTGGTAATCTCATATAGGAGCCCTGGTGGTGCAGTGGTTAAGAGCTAGGCTGCTAACCAAAATGTTGACTCCTTGGAAACCCTATGGGGCAGTTCTACTCTCAGAATCAACTCAATGGCAACAGGTTTTTTAACCAGTTCAATCTCATATCATTCATAGGTAACTATTCCAGAACATATCTGATGAATTGATGAATACAATTACCTTAGGCATCTTTTGATTGGTACAGCAACATAAATACAGTGTTTTAATGGAGCTCCAGTTGCTCCAAGAACAATGCCTAGCAGCAACTACAGCTAAGTAGATCAGTCACATGAACAACAAATGCCCATTGAACTCTCTCAGCCATCTCTACATTCCCTGTAGCACCTGGCATGTTGCTTTGCATATAGTATGTGGTCGGTTAAAACCTGTTGAACTGAATCGACTTTTATTTTTTTGTTTTGGTTTGTGGAGTTTGTGCTGACATTCCAAAACCATTACCATATCACTCTCACCTTTGAATACGGAAGCAGTGGTATTGCATATAGTGTAACTATATGAAATATATATATATATTTTAACAGCTTTGTCGGCTTGGATGTGGGTAATCTGTAAATAGTTGCAACTGAAAAATTAAGCCTTATTGTTTTGGGTGAAAATTTTGTAAGTAATGTATCATTAAATAGATTCCTTATATAGTACAAAGAAGTAGGTTTTTACCCCCAATTTCTTCAACTGACCCTATCAAATTACTGCCACTTTAGGGATTACATATGTTCAGTATACTGTATCATAAAAGCTTTGTAAGTGGCTGAAATGACCAAAAACTCATTATAACCAACAGGCTTCCGTTGTCTTAAATTTGCCCAATAGGCTTATTCCATTTTGTTATAATTAACATCCTATTATATAACGATACATAACAAAAGTTCAAGTGCAACAAATGGAGCTTAAGACTAATTACTGTGCTATTACATTACCATTAGTGATACTACTTATAATTATGTACCAATAACTAGGGAATATGAATTGGTTTTTTATGTCAGACTTTCATCTGTATAGTACCAGACCTACAAGGAACAAACTCTGAAGATACTAGGGAAAGTCTCTGGATTCCATTTACTCTTTTGAGTCATTTCAACTATTTTTAGAGTCAGGAATGTCTGCTCACTTGCAATAAAGCAGGGAGTTATGGCTTTTTTGATTCACTAGCAACGTAACCTTCATTAAATTCACTGCAATCAAAGTTTTCAAAGGCCTTCTGTGTTGTTTATACATTCAGGTATTTGAAATTATCCAGATGTTTGAGTTCACCACTTTCCATTGAAATTGCTGGTATGGCATATATAGCCATATATGCTGTGAGTCCTTCGTCTTTGCTATGATCTTTGGATTCCACTTTATTTATGTAGGTTTGTAGGTACCAACCAGACAATTTAATGAACTAGGTAGGTTATGCAATGGGGTAGCTAAAGGTAATTTGGCCTGATTTTATGCCCTATTGCGTTGGAATACACATTTCATACGGTGTGCCTACAGTCAACACAGAAATTCTATGTCTAAATGAGCAAGACAAAGACCATCACATGGAAAGAAAGACTCTTGCTCTGGGCAACTGTTTCATTGGTTTCAACAGCAACTCATACTTACTTGCACAGTCCTCTTGTGAAATGTGGTTATTAATACTAATGTCATCAACTGCAATCCCGCCAAGGTTTCCTTTTCCGATTTCGCCCTCAAAAATTACCTAACAAAATGAGATCATTTCCACAATGTTTAAATGTTAGTCCCAAATAGCAGTGTTTACAAATGCATATTCAATTCCAGCTATGGCACATAAATTAAATTCATGAGATTTCACATAAGCACACACTTCGCTCATCAATCAATATTTGCTGCCTGGTGATGGCATAAAACTTCTCCTCAGACTCTCTTTTTATAATACAAAATTTAAAGCTGGAAAAAGCAGCGAATAAAAGGCATGATCCATTTTGATAGCCCAGAAATAGATTGCAAACTAGCATTTTCCCTTTCACAGCAAAGTGCTTCTTTTCCTGTAATCTAGGAGACAGAAATATGCTACTGAGATTACCATCATTGCAATCACAACTCAGGTTCACGAAGCAAATGAAAAGATTTTTGAAATAATTCCCCCATCACATTTGCATTCTTGTTGTTGTTAGCAGCTGTTGGGTCGGTCCCCGACTCGTGGCGACCCCACATGTTGCAGAGTAGAACTGCTCCATAGGATTTTCTTGGCTGTAATCTTTACAGAAGCAGATAGCCAGGCCTCTTCTTCCACGGACCCTCTGGGTGGGTTTGATCCACCAACCTTTATGGGCAGCAGATCGCAAACTCCTTGCGCCACTTTGGCTCCCTCACATTTGCATAACTTCCAAAATATTACCTCAGTGTTCCTGAAGCAAGTGGCCCTCCCCCACCTAGGTAAGGGATCATACCTGATAAAGCTTCAGAGATTTGTGAAGCAAAACACGCCCCTCCTTCCAGTGATCTCCTTGGTGCCCAATGGCCGTCCAGACCAACTGGTCATACTCGTCTGGCTTCTGGTAGCGTAGTTTGACCCTCAGCGTGCCAACATGGGAACCAGACATGTGGTACCAGAAGGTCAGGCAGTGGGCTGAGTTCTGGGAATAAACCACAGGGCTCACCAGACGAGCCACTTTGCCCTTCTGGTTCTCATCAGCTTGGGAATAGATGAAATTGCCGTCTCCTGCTGTGGCAAAAAAGCTGTGTTAGGAAGAATGGCCACATTTCCAACTCCTTTGTCACTTTTCTTTCAAGTTCCACTCATCAACACTTCTCTCCCAGGCTGGGCACCAAGAAACCAAACACACAAGTGAGAAGCGAGCAGAGCTCTTGGGAAACCTCTTTGGTACCTAAGGCTTTGCTCTAAGCCTTTCTGGATGGACATTTGATTAGGGAAAGCATGGATTTGTACACTACTTATTTGAAATGCACTGTCATATGGACATAGGCTGTGACTCACATCTGCCTTAGCACCACTGTAAGCAAACTGAAAGCACAGAGCAGACAGACAATGACTCCTCCAGGAAGAAAACCTATTTTCATACAACTTTAAGATCACTTCAGCACCACCCATTTGAACACCAACGTTAAATGGAATAATTGAGACCTATCCCTGGTGGCACAGTGGCTAAGAGCTTGGCTGCTAACCAAAAAGGTCAGCAGTTTGAATCCACCAGCCACTCCTTGGAAACCCTACGAGGCAGTTCTACTCTGTCCTCTAGGGTCGCTATGAGTTGGAATCGACAGCAACAGATTTTTTGGTATTCTTACTATCAGAGCAGCAGAACTTCGGACGATACTTTGGTCACTGTATCTGTTTGATAATGAAGCTGTAGTTTTGCCAAATAATCTAGCAATCTCTGGTTTTTCCAAATCAGGTGATTTTTTCCCTAGTTTATTTGATAGCATATAAATTCCTTCAACACAACTGAAACCTGATTCTCAACTGTGAGCTCTGCTCCTGTTTGATGTGGGTTTCTGGCTCAAGGAGGGGCAAGGTTGCGTTTTTGAGGCTTATCAGAATGTGCCATTTTGGCAATGGAGACACTTCCTGAGCTGCTAGGACTTACTCGGCTTTGCTTTTAATTACCCACCGTGGGAATGTTTCCTCCTGCTGCCACCTGCTCTAAACACACAACTCATGTTTCACTGTGTGCGCTGCAAATAGGAATCACCTTCTCTAATGCCTCACCTGATGTCAGTGGGACTCTGAGCTTCTGGCCTCAGTGGGCAGCTGATATGTTTTGTCTGCTGCCCAAGAAGCTTGTATATTTGTGAGGTACATTTTCAGTGTGCATATGTGGGCATGTCCTTATATCTGCTTGTCTGTGTCACCAGCTTCCATGTGGAAATGGGATGTGTTGGTGGGCAGCCTTCTTTACTTACCTGGCTGCTGACATGAGAACCCAACAGAACACTCTTAAATAACCAACGAGTGGAATAATAAAAGAATGGTTGAAATAAGTCACAGCCCCAGCAGTATGTTCAATGCTGACTTTGTGAATTGTCTGCCTGTGACTGAGCAAATTTACCAAGCATGGGTCACTTGTCTGTGTGACAGTGCCATTTCACTGAGATGAGTAGGGTATCAGTCCACCAAGACGGACAGCTTAAAAAAGGTACCCATCTTGCCTCTGTTCCCCATAATCTTACGGGAAAAGACTGAAGCTGGAGATGCTGCAGAGTAGAAACACTTTTACTGAGCCCACACAGTTTATTTAGGCTCATCAGAGAATAGGTGGTAAAGGGGATAAAAAGTGGATGTGAGAATAGGGAAGAAGGTTGCCTGAGAAGTGTCTCATGACCTCTACCCTGCTGCCACTGGGGGCTTTTAAAACTTCGCTCATGTCATTCCTCTGCTCACAGTTCTTCAGTGGGTCCTCACCACTTCCAGCCTATCCACACTACACGACACTGAAGACCTCGCACCTTCTGCCACGCATCTAGATGCTTCGCCTGGGGGAATCTGTCCAATCACACCATTTGCAAACCTCTAAAGCATACCACCCTCCACTATGACTTTCACATGCTACTCCTTCAGTTCATTCAAACCCCAGCTTAGACTGCCTCTAAGACAGGACTGCTTTCTCTGTTTCTCTGAGCTCTCCTGCCATGGGTTGAATTGTGTCCCCCCAAAAAGTATGCTGAAGTCCTTAATCTGGTACTTACGAATGTAACCTGGTTTGGGAATAGGGTCTTTGAAAGTGTTATCAGTTAACATGAGGTCATAGCAGAGCAGGATGGGTAATCCCATCTGAGTGGGGTCCTTGTAAAAGAGAAGAGTCACAGAGAGACACGGAGGGAAACGGCCCATGTGAAGACTGAGGCAGAGATTGGAACACCAATGACTGCCAGAAAGCACTAGAAGCTAGGCAGAGGCAAGGAAGGATCTTCCCTTAGAACCTTCAGAGAGAGCACGGCCCTGCTGACACCTTGATTTCAAACTGCTAGCCTCCAGAATGGTGAGGGAATACATTTCTGTTGTTTTAAGTCACCGTGTTTGTGGTATATCGTTAGACCAACCATAGGAAATGAACACAGCACCTCTCTTATCTTTTACCATCGTTCTCACCTCTGCATTGGAGGCCCTCACCCCACTGCTCTGTAATGGTTTCCCACCTACAACCAGACTGTGAGCTCCTCAAGAGAAGGGGAAACCTCCTTTACACCTGCATCACCAGTGTCAATACAGCAGCCATGTAATAATAGGTCTACTCAAGCAAGATGAGCTCAATGAACAAACAAAGATGCTGGATTTTGGAAATCCTCTGTAAAGGGGGGGCCACAGCTTCATTCTTAGGGGTCAAATGCAGAACAAGCAAGATTCCTTTAAATATGTTCAAAACTGGGCAGCAAAATATTTTACCTGGATACGGTTAATGAATTAAAAAAAGAAACAAAACCTCTCAACATCTAATTTGCAAAGTTTCTTCAAATATAAACAAATGATATAGAACATGTAATGTCATTATGTGTGTGTTTGTGCTGTGTGTGGGCTCTTTCTCATCTAGATTTGCTTCACATTAACAAGTTCCTGCCTTTTACATGTTTGGCTCGCCCGTCTCTCTCAGAGTCTGATTGTTTTTCACTCAGGCTGCAGGAGGCTATTTCTAGAAAGGACAGACCTGGCATGACAGCCGAGTTAAAACTGAGTGGCTGGGAGAACAAAAGAGGCAAGTCTTTCTTAAGGGAAGATGGCACTTTTCAGCTGTTAATTTAAGACAAGCCCTACTTTTCTGATACCACAACACATAAAAGCACTGGTATTTTTCTTTTCAGGGGCTTTATCACAGTTCTGGGTCAGGAACTCTGTCTTCATTTTCTCAATTAGCACTTTACTTTTGTAAGCCTTTTAGCTTTTGTCTCTGGCTAACATAGCTTTTAACCTCCTTTGAATGTCAGATCCCACTGAGCCATTTTTGCTTCACTTTGCATCAATTTTTCCACCATAGCTGCCTTCATTTCAGCTAATTGCATTTAGTTAATTTGATGCCATTTATATGTACAGTGCCATTTACAGTCAAAGTATTTTAAGTTTTCTAAAACTGCTTGTCTTAAGATTCCATTGAAAGTGTTTCAGAATTGAAGGCGTCCAATTTTATCCAATTTCCTTGTCATTCTCATTAGGCAAGGAGGTAGCCATGGTGGAAGGAGGCCTATTCAACCTACTTAATGGTTATATTCACTGGGAAAAAAAGTGAACAACAAAAGGAGAAAGGATGGTATGTATAAATTTTTGTATGGGAAAAAACAAAAAAGAATTTTTTTTATAAAGCATAGAATTGGGAAAAAAATGAGAAAGGCATGAAGTATCCTCTGCCCATCCATTAACCCACTGACCCACTCATCCCAAATACCAGCTTGGGGAGAACTTTGCTTAATGAGATTTCTTAGCATCATGCAATGCTCCTCTGGGGTATCTTTTGGGAAGCCACTCTTTGAGTAAGCTGTGCACTGAAAGTATCACTGAGAAAGGTAGCAATTTGTGGTTGAGATGTTTGTTGTGTATGTGTGTGTTTCGTGGGACACAGCTGGTTCCTTATACCATATCTCAAGTTGGGTGATGAAATGACTAGGAGACAAATAGCAATGGGGTGGATAAAATAGTTCACCGCCGCGGCTGTCAGTACCCTCTGTTCCCCAGCCCATCCCCCTCCCCCAGGTTTAGAAAATGAGGTTGAATCTTAGAAGGGATGTAAGGCAAAGAAAAGTAAGGCAGGAGGTGGAATGAGTTGTGAAGTAGGGTGTGCTGACGTTTCCACCTTCTCAGAGGAAATGGCCCAGATTAAAAATCTTCCCCTAAGGAATATGAATCCTACCCCACCTTGATCCACTTCCATTTCAACGGTCAAGCGCGAACAAGCATTAGGGTTACTTATTGCTTATTTGGAGTCCTGGTGGTGCAGTGGTTAAGAGCTATGGCTGTTAACCAAGAGGTAGGCAGTTCGAATCCACCAGCTGCTCCTTGGAAACCCTATGGGGCAGTTCTACTCTGTCCTATAGGATTGCTATGAGTCGGAATCAACTCGATGGCAACTGTGTTTTTTTTTTGTTTGTTTGTTTTTTAATTGCTTATTTAGCTGAACAAATAAATGAGATGACTATGTCTGGAGTTGCTTCAAAATAATTTAGAGTTGGGGAATGTGGGATGATATAGAGAAAATAAGGTAAGATTTCCCATGATTTGATAATTGTTGAAGCTGGGTTATGTACATATAGAGTTTATTATACTATTTTTTTTTTCTTTTGAATATGTTGGAAATGTTCCATAATAAAAAAGTTAAGAAGTATAAAACAGGTACTGATTCACACATTCTAATCCAGTTTGCTACTTCTCAGAGAGGCAAATCAGTGGCCAAATTAAATCAGTATACGCTACTAATTACTGTTAGTACATCTTTACTTGAGAAAAGTTTTTGTGATTGTGGTTAGCTGCCATTAAGTTGATTCTGACTCATGGCAACCCCATGTGCAGAGCAGAACTGCTCCATAGGGTTTTCAAGGCTGTAATCTTTCGGAAGCAGATTGCCAGGACTGTCTTCTGAAGTGCTTCTGGGTGGGTTCCACCCACCAACCTTTTGGCTAGTAGTTGAGCACTTAACCATTTGTGCCACTCGGGGACTTGAAAAGAGACCTTATTAACTCCAGAAAATAAAAGCATGAATGAATGCCCTGTGGTATTTTCCTAACCCCCCTAAATTCACAGGCACCAGTAAACCCTCCCCAAGAGAACATTCTCAGATTTAAAGAGAATTTGCAAAGAAAGCAAGGCCCACTGTAAGCTCCCCATTACCTGTGTGATCCTGGATTGGGCCGGTTTTGCTGGTCAACACACTCCATTTGAGTTGCACATGATTGTCATGTTCCCAGTGACAGAATGTCTTGTGAGAGCCCCAGCCAAATTCACAGTTAAAGCCATATGTTGGAAATTCTTCAATGGGTGGAAGGGAAAAACAGAGACAAACTGAATCATTGAGGGTCAGAAAAGCCTTTAATTATTTCATAGAAATCACCATTCATAAAACCTAACTTCTGTTTAAAGATTCTGGGAAAGCCACAAAATTCAGGATTACCAGGAGACTCAAAAGCTGCACAGAGATGTCAAATGTTTGCAAAATTACATTTAGTCATTTTTTTTCTTTTAAATCCAGCTTTAAAAAGATTATAGACTGCCTGTCAGCTTGGTTTTTCATAAAATTTCCAGGAAGGTTACTTTTAAGAGCATGTATACTACATCTGCCTCTCCCTATTTCCAGAATATTTAATATCAGAGATACTCTATTCTTGAGGATGAATCATACAAATTGGTATCAACCAATGAAAAGAATCTTAATTAGAGATTGACCCCTGAATCTCAAAAGTCTAGAAATGTGAGTTGGCTTCGTGCCTCATCATAGAGTCTCTGCATTCTCATCACCATCTTACGCTTTCGGGTCTAAGGTGTCGGGGTAGAAATCGCTGAAGCAGTCTCTTTAAGATTTTGTTTTCCTTCTGTGCTTTACATCAGGTCAATTATTTTAAGTTTAAATATATGCTCTTTTCATGAATTTTAAAATTTGCCTCTAAATTGCTGGCCCCACTTAAAACCTCAATGGAAGGTCATGTTAAAGCCACACACATTTAAATAGCTATCCTTTTTTTTTTTTTTTTTTTTAAATGTTTCAAGTGTGTCCTTTGGAATCTAAAAAGCAAGAATGGATTCCCAGGAATGAGTCTTCTTATGTGTTCTACTAGGTGCTATTTGACTATGGTGTTTTCTTAAACCATAGCTTTAGCTATTATTCAACCATTTTGTGTGGAAATAGCTCGACTTTTTAAAGCATGGGGAAACCAAAATCGTCAATATCTAGAATTCTTTTGGTGAACTTAAGCTAACAGTAAAAATAATTCTAAAGATAAAACTGTCATGCTTCTGGATGTCCCACTCCCCCCCGCAATATAAAATGAAACAGCAGTTTTCTTTAATCAAGGAGGGTCATTGCTTCTCATTGAGGTTAGGTGATCCACAAGATGGCAGCATTGAAACAGAAAGAAGGCACCTAGGGCTTCTTGCCAATTGAACTTACAAACAAACCTCAAAATAAGTCCGGTGCACAATAAGGTAAGTCTGGTATTATGTACCGGATTAAGGTCAGGCTGAGATCCTATCTTGTTTTGGCTTTACTTTAACTTTGTTGAAGTGTTTAACACAACGTAGTTTGTTTTCTGCGCTGAACTCCACCTCTGTTGCTCTTCCCTGCCTTTGACAATAGTGTTTGGAATTTTAATGGAAATATGTATTAAATAGAGAAGGATGATTTTCTTTTCATGTTTAGCTTTCAAGGAATTCTCATCAAGTGTTAATGTCAAATTCTGGAAGGAACGTACCATATGAATTGTCAAAATGGAGCTGGATGAATCTCCCCTCCAATGACAGCGTGACCTCTCAAAGGGAGTACACGGTCACTTTGGGAAAGTAAACTACTAAGCCAGATGACATTCGTGATGTGACCACTTTCAGTTAGTGGGAAAGGGCTATATTTCACGGCTGTAGTGTCATTGGAGGGATATATTTTATGTCTAGTCTATTATAACCATGAAATAGGACTTCTTAAAGCATGAGAAACCTGCTCCAAAATTTACACACTTTTGCACAGGAAGATTGAATTATGCAGATGAAGTAAAGCCAACGGAACACTGACTGAATGGCTGAGTAACCTTGTATGTCAACCTCTCAAGACACTGGAATGTATTGTTGCATAATCTCATTAGAAAATGCTAATATTGGGAAATATTAATTTGTGTGTGGTTTTGTCTTTTCTCCTCAAGTATAGTTTATAAACATGCAAGAGAGCAGCAAGCCATTACAATATGTGTATTTCTGGTTATATTTATCTTGCTAATGTGTTACATTTATTGTAGTAGTGAAAACTACACAGTTCATTATTTTGGCTATTAATATTCTGATGCGATCTTAAAATGAACTTGGATATCTTCATAATGACCAGGACTGGGATGGCTTTGCCTGAAAAGATGTTCTAGGCATTTCTCCTGCCTGCAGTGAGTGGCAGTAAGTCTTCCAATATCCTCCCCAGTCTGGTGAATTTAACAAGGCCAACTACTCAGCTTTCTGTATCTTTCCTCCCTTTTCTCTTTTTGCCCCCGATCATATATTTATGGCAACTCATTTATTTAAAAGAAATGTTTTTTAAAAAATGTATTTTGTTGGGCAGGGGTGTGGAGTCAGTGGCTGGATGTTGAAAATTCCAGCCTGGCTTGAGAGGCAATTAAACACAAAAAA